TGTTACATGACCCTATCAGAGTGTTACATGACCCTATCAGAGTGTTACATGACCCTATCAGAGTGTTATATGACCCTATCAGAGTGTTACATGACTCTACCATAGTGTTACATGACCATCAGAGTGTTACATGACCCTATCAGAGTGTTATATGACCCTATCAGAGTGTTACATGACTCTATCATAGTGTTACATGATAATATCAGAGTGTTACATGACCCTATCAGAGTGTTACATGACTCTATCAGAGTGTTATATGACCCTATCATAGTGTTACATGATAATATCAGAGTGTTACATGACCCTATCAGAGTGTTACATGACCCTATCATAGTGTTACATGACCCTATCAGAGTGTTACATGACCCTATCAGAGTGTTAGCTGACTCTGAGTGTTACATGACTCTACCAGAGTGTTACATGACCCTATCAGAGTGTTACATGACCCTATCAGAGTGTTACATGACTCTGAGTGTTACATGACTCTATCAGAGTGTTACATGACCCTATCAGAGTGTTACATGACTCTATCAGAGTGTTTCATGACTGCCAGAGTGTTACATGACTACCAGAGTGTTACATGACCCTATCAGAGTGTTACATGACCCTATCAGAGTGTTACATGACTCTACCAGAGTGTTACATGACCCTATCAGAGTGTTACATGACCCTATCAGAGTGTTACATGACTCTATCAGAGTGTTACATGACTCTATCAGAGTGTTACATGACTCTATCAGAGTGTTACATGACTCTATCAGAGTGTTACATGACCCTATCAGAGTGTTACATGACTCTGAGTGTTACATGACGCCATCAGAGTGTTACATGACCCTATCAGAGTGTTACATGACCCTATCAGAGTGTTACATGACCCTATCAGAGTGTTACATGACTCTATCAGAGTGTTACATGACTCTATCAGAGTGTTACATGACTCTATCAGAGTGTTACATGACCCTATCAGAGTGTTACATGACTCTATCAGAGTGTTACATGACCCTATCAGAGTGTTACATGACCCCAGATGACCCTATCAGAGTGTTACATGACCAGAGTGTTACATGACTCTCTCAGAGTGTTACATGACTCTACCAGAGTGTTACATGACTCTATCAGAGTGTTACATGACCCTATCAGAGTGTTTCATGTCTCTATGAGAGTGTTACATGACTCTATCAGAGTGTTACATGACTCTATCAGAGTGTTACATGACTCTATCAGAGTGTTACATGACTCTATCAGAGTGTTACATGACTCTATCAGAGTGTTACATGACTCTGAGTGTTACATGACTCTACCAGAGTGTTACATGACCCTATCAGAGTGTTACATGACTCTATCAGAGTGTTACATGACCCTATCAGAGTGTTACATGACTCTATCAGAGTGTTACATGACTCTATCAGAGTGTTACATGACTCTATCAGAGTGTTACATGACTCTATCAGAGTGTTACATGACCCTATCAGAGTGTTACATGACTCTATCAGAGTGTTACATGACTATCAGAGTGTTACATGACTCTATCAGAGTGTTACATGACTCTACCAGAGTGTTACATGACCCTATCAGAGTGTTACATGACTACCAGAGTGTTACATGACTCTATCAGAGTGTTACATGACTACCAGAGTGTTACATGACCCTATCAGAGTGTTACATGACTCTATCAGAGTGTTACATGACCCTATCAGAGTGTTACATGACTCTATCAGAGTGTTACATGACACTATCAGAGTGTTACATGACTCTACATGACATGACTATCAGAGTGTTACATGACCCTATCAGAGTGTTACATGACCCTATCAGAGTGTTACATGACCCTATCAGAGTGTTACATGACTCTATCAGAGTGTTACATGACTCTATCAGAGTGTTACATGACCCTATCAGAGTGTTACATGACCCTATCATAGTGTTACAACCCTATCAGAGTGTTACATGACCCTATCAGAGTGTTACATGACTCTATCAGAGTGTTTCATGACTCTATCAGAGTGTTACATGACTACCAGAGTGTTACATGACCCTATCAGAGTGTTACATGACCCTATCAGAGTGTTACATGACTCTATCAGAGTGTTACATGACTCTATCAGAGTGTTACATGACCCTATCAGAGTGTTACATGACCCTATCAGAGTGTTACATGACCCTATCAGAGTGTTATATGACTCTATCAGAGTGTTACATGACTCTATCAGAGTGTTACATGACTCTATCAGAGTGTTACATGACCCTATCAGAGTGTTATATGACCCTATCAGAGTGTTACATGACCAGAGTATCAGAGTGTTACATGACTCTATCAGAGTGTTATATGACCCTATCAGAGTGTTACATGACTCTATCAGAGTGTTACATGACCCTATCAGAGTGTTACATGACCCTATCAGAGTGTTACATGACCCTATCATAGTGTTACATGACCCTATCAGAGTGTTACATGACTCTATCAGAGTGTTACATGACTCTATCAGAGTGTTACATGACCCTATCAGAGTGTTACATGACTCTATCAGAGTGTTACATGACCCTATCAGAGTGTTACATGACCCTATCAGAGTGTTACATGACTCTATCAGAGTGTTACATGACCCTATCAGAGTGTTACATGACCCTATCAGAGTGTTACATGACCCTATCAGAGTGTTACATGACTCTATCAGAGTGTTACATGACGCCTATCAGAGTGTTACATGACCCTATCAGAGTGTTACATGACCCTATCAGAGTGTTACATGACTCTCAGAGTGTTACATGACGCCTATCAGAGTGTTACATGACCCTATCAGAGTGTTACATGACCCTATCAGAGTGTTACAGTGTTACATGACATGACTCTATCAGAGTGTTACATGACCCTATCAGAGTGTTACATTACATGACATGACTCTATCAGAGTGTTACATGTTACATGACCCTATCAGAGTGTTACATGACTCTACCAGAGTGTTATATGACCCTATCAGAGTGTTACGTGACCCTATCAGAGTGTTACATGACTCTATCAGAGTGTTACATGACTACCAGAGTGTTACATGACTCTATCAGAGTGTTACATGACTCTACCAGAGTGTTATATGACTCTATCAGTGTTACATGACTACCAGAGTGTTACATGACCCTATCTGAATGTTACATGACCCTATCAGAGTGTTACATGACTACCAGAGTGTTACATGACTCTATCAGAGTGTTACATGACTCTATCAGAGTGTTACATGACTCTATCAGAGTGTTACATGACTCTACCAGAGTGTTACATGACTCTACCAGAGTGTTACATGACTCTACCAGAGTGTTACATGACCCTATCAGAGTGTTACATGACCCTATCAGAGTGTTACATGACTCTATCAGAGTGTTACATGACTCTATCAGAGTGTTACATGACCCTATCAGAGTGTTACATGACTACCAGAGTGTTACATGACCCTATCAGAGTGTTACATGACTCTATCAGAGTGTTACATGACTACCAGAGTGTTACATGACTACCAGAGTGTTACATGACCCTATCAGAGTGTTACTTGACCCTATCAGAGTGTTACATGACCCTATCAGAGTGTTACATGACTCTATCAGAGTGTTACATGACCCTATCAGAGTGTTACATGACCCTATCAGAGTGTTACATGACTATCAGAGTGTTATATGACCCTATCAGAGTGTTACCTGACTCTGAGTGTTACATGACCCTATCAGAGTGTTACATGACTCTATCAGAGTGTTACATGACCCTATCAGAGTGTTACATGATAATATCAGAGTGTTACATGACCCTATCAGAGTGTTACATGACTCTATCAGAGTGTTACATGACTCTATCAGAGTGTTACATGACCCTATCAGAGTGTTACATGACCCTATCAGAGTGTTACATACATGACTCTATCAGAGTGTTACATGACTCTATCAGAGTGTTACATGAGTGTTACATGACCCTATCAGAGTGTTACATGACCCTATCAGAGTGTTACATGACTCTATCAGATTGTTACATGTCTGACCCTATCAGAGTGTTACATGACTCTATCAGAGTGTTACATGACCCTATCAGTGTTACATGACTCTACCAGAGTGTTACATGACCCTACCAGAGTGTTACATGACTATCAGAGTGTTACATGACTACCAGAGTGTTACATGACTCTATCAGAGTGTTACATGACTCTATCAGAGTGTTACATGACTCTGAGTGTTACATCTATCAGAGTGTTACATGACCCTATCAGAGTGTTACATGACCCTATCAGAGTGTTACATGACTCTATCAGAGTGTTACATGACCCTATCAGAGTGTTACATGACTCTACCAGAGTGTTACATGACCCTATCAGAGTGTTACATGACTCTATCAGAGTGTTACATGACTCTATCAGAGTGTTACATGACCCTATCAGAGTGTTACATGACCCTATCAGAGTGTTACATGACTCTATCAGAGTGTTACATGACTATCAGAGTGTTACATGACCCTATCAGAGTGTTACATGACTCTATCAGAGTGTTACATGACCCTATCAGAGTGTTACATGACCCTATCAGAGTGTTACATGACCCTATCAGAGTGTTACATGACTCTGAGTGTTACATGACGCCATCAGAGTGTTACATGACCCTATCAGAGTGTTACATGACCCTATCAGAGTGTTACATGACTCTGAGTGTTACATGACGCCATCAGAGTGTTACATGACCCTATCAGAGTGTTACATAACCCTATCAGTTATATGATAAACAACATGATTTGAAGTGTTCACATTTCCCAGTTTTTTGTGTTGTCAGCTTTTCAGTCTTACTTTGTTGTGTGATCAAGAGGCATTCGCTGCAGATCGATGGAAACAATCCTAAATTTTAAAATAACTTTGATGTTTGAATGTTACAATTTTTTAACCAAAGTTGAGAAAGGAATTTGTAAATACTATGGAAACATAATAACTTGATATCTAATTTACTGATGTTTGACTAACACCCTGTTTTTACTACAGTGAAGAAGATTTTTAAGCCGCTAAACAAACCACAGAAAATGTCGATACTAAAAGTAAGTGTGGAAGCTAAATAAAGTAAAATATAAACAATTTGAAACTAGAGAAACAAAGCCTGCTATGTAATATATACCTAGGTCATTATGTACGATTTTATGCTCTCTCACCTCCCTCACTCTGTTTTATGTACTTATCAGAGAAGTGGGGTATATATAGTGTTAGGAGCTTGAGGGCATTCATGTGTAAAGTGTAAGGAGCTTGAGGGTATTCAAGTCTTAAGTGTTAGAAGCTGGAGGGTATTCATGTCTTAAGTATGTGGAGCTTGAGGGTATTCATGTGTAAAGTGTAAGGAGCTTGAGGGTATTCATGTCTTAAGTATGTGGAGCTTGAGGGTATTCATGTCTTAAGTATGTGGAGCTTGAGGGTATTCATGTGTAAAGTGTTAGAAGCTGGAGGGCATTCATGTGTAAAGTGTAAGGAGCTTGAGGGTATTCATGTGTAAAGTGTTAGAAGCTGGAGGGTATTCACGTGTAAAGTGTTAGAAGCTGGAGGGCATTCATGTCTTAAGTGCAAGGAGCTTGAGGGTATTCATGTGTAAAGTGTTAGAAGCTGGAGGGTATTCATGTCTTAAGTATGTGTAGCTTGAGGGTATTCATGTGTAAAGTGTTAGAAGCTTGAGGGTATTCATGTCTTAAGTATGTGGAGCTTGAGGGCATTCATGTGTAAAGTGTTAGAAACTGAAGGGTATTCACGTGTAAAGTGTTAGAAGCTGGAGGGTATTGATGTCTTTAGTGCAAGGAGCTTGAGGGTATTCATGTGTAAAGTGTTAGAAGCTGGAGGGCATTCATGTGTAAAGTGTTAGAAGCTTGAGTGTATTCATGTCTTAAGTGTTAGAAACTGGAGGGTATTCATGTGTAAAGTGTTAGAAGCTGGAGGGTATTCATGTGTAAAGTGTTAGAAGCTGGAGGGTATTCATGTGTAAAGTGTTAGAAGCTGGAGGGCATTCATGTGTAAAGTGTTAGAAGCTGGAGGGCATTCATGTGTAAAGTGTTAGAAGCTTGAGTGTATTCATGTGTAAAGTGTTAGAAGCTGGAGGGTATTCATGTGTTTAGTGTTAGGAGCTGGAGGGTATTCATGTGTTTAGTGTTAGAAGCTGGAGGGCATTCATGCTTTGAATATGAGGAGCTTGAGGGCATTCATGCCCCAAGTATGAGGAGCTTGAGGTTATACATGTCTGAAGTGTTAGGAGCTTGAGGGCATTCATGCCTTGGACATCTAGTTTATCAAAAAGTTATAAAAAACTGGATAGCTTGTAATTTTTATTGTTTTTGTGATTTTCTTTTCAAATGATCAATGAATATATCAAACATTAATACTGTAAAAATGCAAAAATGATAAGCTACACGACATACAGTTTATCAATTTTTTCCTTTGAAATGTCTGTTTTGATAGGTGTTGATGAGTAAGGACTACATTCTCATCAAAGGTTACCCTGGTACAGGTAAGTATATACCCATCAAAGTTGACCCTGTATACAGGTAAGCATATACCCATCAAAGGTTACCCTGTATACAGGTAGGTATATACCCATCAAAGGTTACCCTATGTACAGGTAGGTATATACCTATCAAAGGTTACCCTGGTACAGGTAGGTATATACCCATCAAAGTTGACCCTGTATACAGGTAGGTATATACCCATCAAAGGTGACCCTGTATACAGGTAGGTATATACCCATCAAAGGTTACCCTGGTACAGGTAGGTATATACCCATCAAAGGTGACCCTGTATACAGGTAGGTATATACCCATCAAAGGTTACCCTGTATACAGGTAGGTATATACCCATCAAAGGTTACCCTGTATACAGGTAGGTATATACCCATCAAAGGTTACCCTGGGTACAGGTAGGTATATACCCATCAAAGGTGACCCTGTATACAGGTAGGTATATACCCATCAAAGGTTACCCTGTATACAGGTAGGTATATACCCATCAAAGGTTACCCTGTATACAGGTAGGTATATACCCATCAAAGGTGACCCTGTATACAGGTAGGTATATACCCATCAAAGGTTACCCTGGTACAGGTAGGTATATACCCATCAAAGGTTACCCTGTATACAGGTAGGTATATACCCATCAAAAGTGACCCTGTATACAGGTAGGTATATACCCATCAAAGGTGACCCTGTATACAGGTAGGTATATACCCATCAAAGGTGACCCTGTATACAGGTAGGTATATACCCATCAAAGGTGACCCTGTATACAGGTAGGTATATACCCATCAAAGTTGACCCTGTATACAGGTAGGTATATACCCATCAAAGGTTACCCTGTATACAGGTAGGTATATACCCATCAAAGGTTACCCTGTATACAGGTAGGTATATACCCATCAAAGGTTACCCTATGTACAGGTAGGTATATACCTATCAAAGGTTACCCTGTGTACAGGTAGGTATATACCCATCAAAGGTGACCCTGTATACAGGTAGGTATATACCCATCAAAGGTTACCCTGGTACAGGTAGGAATATACCTATCAAAGGTTACCCTATGTACAGGTAGGTATATACCCATCAAAGGTTACCCTGTATACAGGTAGGTATATACCCATCAAAGGTTACCCTGGGTACAGGTAGGTATATACCCATCAAAGGTGACCCTGTATACAGGTAGGTATATACCCATCAAAGGTTACCCTGTGTACAGGTAGGTATATACCCATCAAAGGTTACCCTGTGTACAGGTAAGTATATACCTATCAAAGGTGACCCTGTATACAGGTAGGTATATACCCATCAAAGGTTACCCTGTATACAGGTAGGTATATACCCATCAAAGGTGACCCTGTATACAGGTAGGAATATACCCATCAAAGGTTACCCTGTGTACAGGTAGGTATATACCCATCAAAGGTGACCCTGTGTACAGGTAGGTATATACCCATCAAAGGTGACCCTGTGTACAGGTAGGTATATACCCATCAAAGGTTACCCTGTGTACAGGTAGGTATATACCCATCAAAGGTGACCCTGTGTACAGGTAGGTATATACCCATCAAAGGTTACCCTGTATACAGGTAGGTATATACCCATCAAAGGTTACCCTATGTACAGGTAGGTATATACCCATCAAAGGTTACCCTGGGTACAGGTAGGTATATACCCATCAAAGGTGACCCTGTATACAGGTAGGTATATACCCATCAAAGGTTACCCTGTGTACAGGTAGGTATATACCCATCAAAGGTTACCCTGTGTACAGGTAGGTATATACCTATCAAAGGTGACCCTGTATACAGGTAGGTATATACCCATCAAAGGTTACCCTGTATACAGGTAGGTATATACCCATCAAAGGTGACCCTGTATACAGGTAGGAATATACCCATCAAAGGTTACCCTGTGTACAGGTAGGTATATACCCATCAAAGGTGACCCTGTGTACAGGTAGGTATATACCCATCAAAGGTGACCCTGTGTACAGGTAGGTATATACCCATCAAAGGTTACCCTGTGTACAGGTAGGTATATACCCATCAAAGGTTACCCTATGTACAGGTAGGTATATACCCATCAAAGGTTACCCTGTGTACAGGTAGGTATATACCCATCAAAGGTTACCCTATGTACAGGTAGGTATATACCCATCAAAGGTTACCCTGTGTACAGGTAGGTATATACCCATCAAAGGTTACCCTGTGTACAGGTAGGTATATACCCATCAAAGGTTACCCTGTGTACAGGTAGGTATATACCTATCAAAGGTTACCCTGTGTACAGGTAGGTATATACCTATCAAAGGTTACCCTATGTACAGGTAGGTATATACCCATCAAAGGTTACCCTGGGTACAGGTAGGTATATACGCATTAAAGGTTACCCTGGTACAGGTAGGTATATACCCATCAAAGGTTACCCTGTATACAGGTAGGTATATACCCATCAAAGGTGACCCTGTATACAGGTAGGAATATACCCATCAAAGGTTACCCTGTGTACAGGTAGGTATATACCCATCAAAGGTTACCCTGTGTACAGGTAGGTATATACCCATCAAAGGTGACCCTGTGTACAGGTAGGTATATACCCATCAAAGGTTACCCTGTATACAGGTAGGTATATACCCATCAAAGGTTACCCTATGTACAGGTAGGTATATACCCATCAAAGGTTACCCTGGGTACAGGTAGGTATATACCCATCAAAGGTTACCCTATGTACAGGTAGGTATATACGCATTAAAGGTTACCCTGGTACAGGTAGGTATATACCCATCAAAGGTTACCCTGTGTACAGGTAGGTATATACCTATCAAAGGTTACCCTATGTACAGGTAGGTATATACCCATCAAAGGTTACCCTGTGTACAGGTAGGTATATACCCATCAAAGGTTACCCTGGTACAGGTAGGTATATACCTATCAAAGGTTACCCTGGTACAGGTAGGTATATATCCATCAAAGTTTATTCAAGGCTGGTATACAGATTCTCATCAGTTTCAAATATCATCTGTTTGTTTCATTTTAATAATTTCTTTCACACATTTAAGATATTACTTCAGTATATGATATTAGGTTTGTATTATTTATAGATGGTATGACGTTGAAGGTTTTTTGTTTTTAGATGATATAGCTACAGATTATGATTTTATTGCTATCTTGTCCTGATCCAGGTAAGACATCCACCATTGTAGCGCTCGTTAAGGTGTGTATGATCCTCAGACTGTCCGTACTACTGACCAGTTACACGCACTCGGCTGTTGACAACATTCTCCTGAAACTTAAAAAGGTGAGATTGGAAATGCCTTGTAGCTTCTGGATAATACACTATATAAATTTAACTTATCAAATGTAACAATGGAAATAATTCTACAGTGGCTATTTTATAACCCTCTTAAATCTACCTCAATATACTGTATATTTCTACATTCAGAAGACTGTTACTTATCAAAATACATTATATCAAGTTCCCTGCTAGAACTGGTACTAATTGATATGTATACAAACATTCTTGGTCACAGCAAATTTGACAATGATGAAAACATCATAGCTTACAGAGGCATTTTACATAGTCACCTTTATGTTATTTTAATCCATGTTTGAAATACTACAAATGTAGTGACAGAATAAGATTACTACTGCAACAAAGTTATGTCCCTTTGTAGTACTTTATTAGTAAAAATTCATTTTTATCCCGATTTCTAGCTTTTTAAAACTGTTGTTGTTTCAGGATAATGTTAATTTTCTTAGACTTGGAAAAAGTAACAAGATCCATCCAGATATACAGCAATTCTCAGCCAGTAATCTGACGAAAAATTTGAACACTGTCGGCGAGTTGCGAGAATTCTACCATTCTCAGGTGCAGTGGGTTACACTTCGTAACAGGATTTCAAGTAGAAACTATTTATTACTGTTTATAAAACAATTTTAGGTATAACCACATTAATCTTCTGGAATAGAAGTTCTTATAACACAACTTGTAGAAGATTAGACTACAAAGTCACCTTCATCAGACAAATGACCAGTGTGGAGCGTACTAGCACTGACATATGTAGTGTATGAGATCTACACGTCACCTTTATCAGACAAATGACCAGTGTGGAGCGCACTAGCCCTGATGTACATAGTGTATGATATCTATACGGTCACCTTTATCAGACAAATGACCAGTGTGGAGCGCACTAGCCCTGATGTACATAGTGTATGATATCTACACGGTCACCTTTATCAGACAAATGACCAGTGTGGAGCGTACTAGCCCTGATGTACGTAGTGTATGATATCTCTACGGTCACCTACACCAGACAAATGACCAGTGTGAAGCGTACTAGCACTGACGTAAGTAGAGTGTGCAATAGTAAGAAATCAACCAACTTTTTTGATTGTGCTATGATCCTATGTACACTAAAGTAAAAAATAGTATGAGGAGATAGTAAACAGATTATAGACAAAATATACACCAGATGGTAACAATGTACTTCAGTCAATTGGCTATACTTTGCTTGACACTTGGTCAGTGATGTGGAGAGTCTATGGTCCCCCTCGTCCCTATTAAGTACTTTTTTTACTGGTTGGATTTTGTGGAATGATCTGTAAGTGCTGATTAATGGATCTAGGACCAAAAATGTTTTCGCTCTGATCAGGTGAATTTTTTGCTTTCTTGGGATTGCAGGTCTTTCTTATGATCTTTGAGAATGACTCTGACTTTCCTGTCTGCTTTTCCAATATACAATGCATTGCAGTTCTTACATGCAATTTTAGTAATCTAATTCTGTGAATTTTTTTGGGGTGTTTTATCCTTAGGATGGACAAGTATAATCGGGAGATTTCATGGCTGTTGCAATACCATGACTGTGGTCATCAGTGCTCTCAGTATGCTCCACATTGTTCATTTGTCTGATGAAAGTGACCCTGTAGTCATGGAAAAGTCACACTCTAATCTTCTAACCGTTCTTTGTTTAAGAACTTCTATTCTATTGACATTACCAACTTGGAGAAAATGGTATTATAAACATATTAATTGTTTTTAAAGTCCTAGTTTTCAAGAATGATGGAATTAAATTATAGAATTTAGAAAGCAAAAAGTATAGGGAAAAAATGAAATCATTGAACTGTTCAGATGGCATTTTCAGTGTTATAAATGCCTTGTCAAGGTAGTTCAATGCTTGAAGGATTTGTCTTGATCAAAATTATGTCCATCAATAGAAAATATTATTAATGCTAATCTAAAACTGAACTCTTCCAGAAAATTGTGGCTACTAGCTGTCTCGGAGTAAATCATCCATTATTTAGCCAGCGCCGATTTGATGTGTGTATTGTGGATGAGGCTTCACAGGTGTTACAGCCAGCATGTCTCGGGCCGCTGTTCTTTGCTGACCAATTTGTACTCGTGGGAGACTCCCAACAGCTGCCCCCCGTGGTACAGAGCCAGGAGGCTAGGTAACTTAAAAACATCAATGTGACTATGCAATACAGTTCTGGAGGATTTTAGAGAGGAGATTGGTGGGGGTGTATCGTTAGCTTTGCATTTCACCTGTCTTCGTATTTTGAATGGTTCAGAGTCATTGTCAAGATATGGTTATATTACTCAATACATTTTGGCTGAAAAGTGAAAACGACCATTACTCGCCGTCTTTTGTCTGTGACGGTGAATTGTCTGTGGTAAACTGTTCTCATGCTAAAATGCTTCTCAAGATTCGCATGTGCAATTAAGCATAAAGGAGGAGTGCCAGTTTGGGCCTTCTGGTGGCCATGACGAATACTTTTTATTTTTTGTCTATTTAAAAACTTGAGGTCAGGCGGTTATGACATGACATTAATCTAAGGTCAGCTCAAATTCATAATTATTGCAATAATTATTAAACTAAAATATTTTTTTTTAGTTTTTTTCTCTTAAATGTCATTTGATGATATATTTCAAAACCTTCATTAGAAAAAAAGCCCAAAAAATATGCCATTGTTGAAAAGTAGGTCACGGTAATTAAGTGCCCGGATTACTAATTAAGTCACACTTGAGCACCGTAATTTGTCTTAATGCATCTATAAACAATACGTTTATCACGTGCAGTGTATTTATTTGAAATATCTTTGCAAATATGGATGATATTAAAATGGAAAAAATCAATTTAGCACCGGGTTTCACAGGATCATAAATGACCTTTGTCTATTACTTACGGGATTGTATTTTTGTTTACTGCTTTAGTAAGGGGAATGGTGGTGTTGGGATATTCATTTAGGAGTCACTGTCGCTGTCACAATCTGACCAGTTCTCCACCGTCATTTTGTCATCAACACAACTAAGGAAACCTGAGGAGGCAGTTGTTTGTGCAGTATGAGACTGGTGTCAGTCATAAGAAAGATACCATAGGACAGATGCAATGTGGGCACAGCAGACGACTACTCTGGCACCAACCTTACATTGAAAATACCAGCCTGATATTGGGGTCAGTCCATTAGAATATTCAATCCAAAGATTGTACACCTTTGAAGCAACATGTCGTGAACGAATCTGAACTTTGATCAAGTCAGGTTTCTCCCTGCATAGCATAAGTTCATACTGACCATCTTCAGCTAAGTGCTCAGGTGAATCAAAGTCCAAACAAGTTTTTCTAGAAGCCAGTGATCTCGGTGAAAGCAGGATTTCTGATATTTCAGATGAATCCAGTTCCGAGTGTTCACTGGTAGGAGTGAGTGACTGAAGAATATCGGAATGAATATCACCATCCACTATATGAGAAGCACAGCATCTAGATGTGTTTGGAATCAAGACACCTGTCTTAATGAAAATCTTAACTCTTATTTTCGTGCATGGTTTCACCATTTTACTTTTTTCATCTCTGGACTTTCCACAAACGAAACATCGCGATTCTGTAAGCGTAGCTTGTGGAATGTCAAGTTTGAATTTTTTAGAGTCAGGTGTCTCATTCTGATGGTCTAAACCACTGTTAGAATGCTCTACTGGTTCATGGTGTTTGTAGAATCTCCCACTGCATTTCTTACATGAAGGGTCACCTAAACATAAATCTTTATTGATGTTATCTTTCAAGAAAGACAGAACATCTGCCTGATTCAGACAATATATTCTGACTTTATAATCTGCTATGCAGCAAGCACACTGCTTGTGTGCTGGCATTTTTAAATATTTAAATGGCATGCCTCTCTTATCCTGACTGTAACTTCTTCATTGCTCTAATTCATGCAAAAATATTTCAAATAAATACACTGCACATGATAAACGTATTGTTTATAGATGCATTAAGACAAAAAACGGTGCTCAAGTGAGACTTAATTAGTAATTAGGGCACTTAATTACTGTGACCTACTTTTCAACAATGGCATATTTTTTGGGCTTTTTTTCTAATGAAGATTTTGAAATGTATCATTAAATGACATTTAAGAGAAAAAAACTAAAAGAAAATATTTTAGTTTAATAATTATTGCAATAATTATGAATTTGATCCCCCACTCGTCCCCCCTATAACAACTGAACAGCCTTGAGCTGACCTTAGATTAATGTCATGTCATTACCACCTGACCTCAAATTTTTAAAAGACAAAAAATAAAAAGTATTTGTCATGGCCACCAGAAGGCCCAAACTGGCACTCCTCCTTTGCCTGAAATAACCCTATGATGATCATGACACACAGTGTTGTTATTTTTCTGGTTTTTGCGAAATACAATATAGCCATATATACGTATATAAATTATAAGACTTCTCCAATTCCAATAGTACCAGTTAGCTGAAAATCTAGTTCCAAAGCTGTCATTGAGCTGAAATTTTGTCGGAATGAAGCCTAGAAATACAGTAATGTTACTGTTGTCACCATTGGTTTACTGCTAGAATTAATCAGTTTTAATTATTCAATAATTTTTGCAACTACTGTGATATCATTTAAAAGCCTTTGTATTGAGATAACTATTCAGGTCCAATGGGCCTCTTGTTCAGTGTTTGTAAAGCTTGATCTTTGTTGTAGGAATATTGGAATGGATGAGAGTCTTTTTCAGTGTTTGGATAAAAATGGTGCAACCTTTGACCTGAATTTGCAGTATCGTATGAACAGGTGACATTAATACCTCTACTTATCTGTGTTTGTTCTATTAACATTGAATTGCTGTGATAGTAATAAACTTGATGATATACATGAGATAGTGATAATCATTTGTCTTGTCTCAGTAGGATCTTTGACATATTCTGCATTTTGCCGCAAGCGGGTGCAGTACTTGGGACCAGTTTAAATTTTAAAAGGCATACAATATGTTAATTCTGTGTATTGGTTTTAATTACATCCTACCTAGCTGTTGGGATATGGTAATCACTTTGTCTGAACGTCAATGCATGAGATCTTATGTGTATAATAGTCCATAAATCACAAATAAATTGTCCCATAGTATCACATCATCACATGACTGCTTTTGAAATGAAAGCATAACTGTGTACAAGATGATTTGTGAACTGTACAACAGATTAAGTTAAAATGAAAAGATCCAGGGATTGGGGTAGATATGTGACAAGGGTTTTTGTTTTTGATCTGTTATTTTAACCTTTTAAGTTTGAACATAAATGAAAAATCAAGAATTTGTCATACATATTCTGAAAAACATAAACCAGCATATCAGTGAGCAGCAATAATAGCCAAGTCAGTAGAGCATTGACCCATGTTACCTTGACCTATGCAACCTTGACCTACGCAACCTTGACCTAAGTAACCTCCAGTGAAGATATGTTGTGTATGGTCTAATTCTCTCTATTTTCAACATGAGATTTAGTGGTTATGTCCTTGGGCAAGACATTTAACCCTAAATGCCCTTAATGGCTTGTGATGGGCCTCCTGTAAGACATTTAACCCTACTTGCCCTTGATGACTTGTGATGGGCCTCCTGTAAGACATTTAACCCTAACTGCTCTTGATGGCTTGTGATGGGCCTCCTGTAAGACATTTAACCCTAACTGCCCTTAATGGCTTGTGATGGGCCTCCTGTAAGACATTTAACCCTACTTGCCCTTGATGACTTGTGATGGGCCTCCTGTAAGACATTTAACCCTAACTGCTCTTGATGGCTTGTGATGGGCCTCCTGTAAGACATTTAACTCTAACTGCCCTTGATGGCTTGTGATGGGCCTCCTGTAAGACATTTAACTCTAACTGCCCTTGATGACTTGTGATGGGCCTCCTGTAAGACATTTAACCCTAACTGCCCTTAATGGCTTGTGATGGGCCTCCTGTAAGACATTTAACCCTACTTGCCCTTGATGGCTTGTGATGGGCCTCCTGTAAGACATTTAACTCTAACTGCCCTTGATGACTTGTGATGGGCCTCCTGTAAGACATTTAACCCTACTTGCCCTTGATGGCTTGTGATGGGCCTCCTGTTAGACATTTAACCCTACTTGCCCTTGATGGCTTGTGATGGGCCTCCTGTAAGACATTTAACTCTAACTGCCCTTAATGGCTTGTGATGGGCCTCCTGTAAGACATTTAACCCTACTTGCCCTTGATGACTTGTGATGGGCCTCCTGTAAGACATTTAACTCTAACTGCTCTTGATGGCTTGTGATGGGCCTCCTGTAAGACATTTAACCCTAACTGCCCTTAATGGCTTGTGATGGGCCTCCTGTAAGACATTTAACCCTACTTGCCCTTGATGACTTGTGATGGGCCTCCTGTAAGACATTTAACCCTAACTGCTCTTGATGGCTTGTGATGGGCCTCCTGTAAGACATTTAACTCTAACTGCCCTTGATGGCTTGTGATGGGCCTCCTGTAAGACATTTAACTCTAACTGCCCTTGATGACTTGTGATGGGCCTCCTGTAAGACATTTAACCCTAACTGCCCTTAATGGCTTGTGATGGGCCTCCTGTAAGACATTTAACCCTACTTGCCCTTGATGGCTTGTGATGGGCCTCCTGTAAGACATTTAACTCTAACTGCCCTTGATGACTTGTGATGGGCCTCCTGTAAGACATTTAACCCTTCTTGCCCTTGATGGCTTGTGATGGGCCTCCTGTTAGACATTTAACCCTACTTGCCCTTGATGGCTTGTGATGGGCCTCCTGTAAGACATTTAACTCTAACTGCCCTTAATGGCTTGTGATGGGCCTCCTGTAAGACATTTAACCCTACTTGCCCTTGATGGCTTGTGATGGGCCTCCTGTAAGACATTTAACTCTAACTGCTCTTGATGGCTTGTGATGGGCCTCCTGTAAGACATTTAACTCTAACTGCCCTTGATGGCTTGTGATGGGCCTCCTGTAAGACATTTAACCCTAACTGCTCTTGATGGCTTGTGATGGGCCTCCTGTAAGACATTTAACTCTAACTGCTCTTGATGGCTTGTGATGGGCCTCCTGTAAGACATTTAACTCTAACTGCCCTTGATGGCTTGTGATGGGCCTCCTGTAAGACATTTAACCCTAACTGCTCTTGATGGCTTATGATGGGCCTCCTGTAAGACATTTAACCCTACTTGCCCTTGATGGCTTGTGATTGGCCTTCTGTAAGACATTTAACTCTAACTGCTCTTGATGGCTTATGATGGGCCTCCTGTTAGACATTTAACCCTAACTGCTCTTGATGGCTTGTGATGGGCCTCCTGTAAGACATTTAACCCTAAATGCCCTTGATGGCTTGTGATGGGCCTCCTGTAAGACATTTAACTCTAACTGCTCTTGATGACTTGTGATTGGCCTCCTGTATGTTGTTCAGTGAGGTAGTCACTAGTTATTACAACAAGACCCCACCTCAAAATGACCCTTCTACTGAAGGGGAGTATTGCCCATGAAACAAACTAACCTGCATATCAAAATATCTGGAGCTCAGTTATAAGAAACCCAAATATATATGAGTTTTATATGCTCGTCTAACATGTACAGTTATCTGCAAGGTTTAATGTGAAGCCAAATGTATTTTTGTTTATAGTGCTATAATGTCTATCAGCAACACCCTAGTGTATGGAGGGGCCCTCAGATGTGGAAATGAAATGGTGGCAAATAGTGAGCTGGTCATCCCTGATCCTGTTTCCCTTCAACAGGTAACATGAACTTTATCTCTTAAAGTGTGAAAAATAGCTCATAGTTTCCTTTTTTTATTTTCACTGCTCTTTCTTAAACCTTTATCACTTGATTTTTTTGTTTTTGTTTCTCTGTTAAATGCTCTGAAAGTTACTTCCCATGCAGTGAATCTGGCAGTCAAACCCATATCAGTGGCTTACCATTTAAAATTGCTTAAAATCTGTTATTAGAATTGAGAAGATACAAAATTTGACTAACCATGCTTATTTATGATACAATCAGGAATCTATTGTACAACTCCTTAGCAACCAGCAAAATCTACAAATGTTTATAACTCATAGCCCATTTGTTAGATAGGGAGGGGGGATAGTTCATTTGTTAGATAGGGAGGGGGGATAGTTCATTTGTTAGATAGGGAGGGGGAATAGTTTTTTTGTTAGATAGGGAGGGGGGATAGTTCATTTGTTAGATAGGGAGGGGGGATAGTTCATTTGTTAGATAGGGAGGGGGAATAGTTTTTTTGTTAGATAGGGAGGGGGGATAGTTCATTTGTTAGATAGGGAGGGGGAATAGTAAAATTTGTTAGATAGGGAGGGGGGATAGTTCATTTGTTAGATAGGGAGGGGGATAGTTCATTTGTTAGATAGGGAGAGGGGATAGTTCATTTGTTAGATAGGGAGGGGGAATAGTTTTTTTGTTAGGTAGGGAGGGGGATAGTTCATTTGTTAGATAGGGAGGGGGGATAGTTCATTTGTTAGGGGGAATATATTTGGATAGAGGGGGATAGTTCATTTGTTAGATAGGGAGGGGGGATAGTTTTTTTGTTAGATAGGGAGCAGGGATAGTTCATTTGTTAGATAGAGAGGAGGGATAGTTTTTTTGTTATATAGGGAGCAGGGATAGTTCATTTGTTAGATAGGGAGGAAGGGATAGTTCATTTGTTAGATAGGGAGGGGGATAGTTCATTTGTTATATAGGGAGGGGGATAGCTCATTTGTTAGATAGGGAGGGGGGATAGTTCATTTGTTAGATAGGGAGGGGGTATTTCTTTTTGTTAGATAGGGAGGTGGATAGCTCACTTGTAAGTTAGGGAGCAGGGATAGTTCATTTGTTAGATACGGAGTGGGATAGCTCATTTGTTAGATAGAGAAGGGGATAGCTCATTTGTGATATAGGGAGGAGGGGATAGCTCATTTGTAAGATAGGAAGGGGGATAGTTCATTTGTCAGATAGGGAAGGGGATAGCTCAATTGTTAGATAGGGAGTGGGGATAGCTCATTTGTTAGATAGGGAGGGGGGATAGCTCATTTGTCAGATAGGAAGAGGGATAGTTCATTTGTCAGATAGGGAGGAGGGATAGCTCAATTGTTAGGTAGGGAGGGGGGATAGCTCATTTGTTAGATAGGGAGGAAGGGGATAGCTAATTTGGTAGGGCATTAGCCAGCACCACCTCATGTGAAGGTCAGATATGTTTGGTCTGATTCTCCTTGCCTTTGGCAGTTTGTTTTTCTCAAGAACACCTTGTCATGTTGAAGTTGTTTTGTTTGGTAAGACATAATTTGCTGTGAATATCATGTGACGACCATCCGTATGATTCAGTGAACAAGACAACATCTATAACAAGGAAACCCTGCCTCAGAATGACCTTCCTTGTTGGCAGGAGGATAAAACATGCAAAGAAAAATTTAATTTTAATAATACTGTTTCCTTTTTAGGTGATAGACAAGCATGGCTGGCTAAAACCTGTGTTACTAGACAATCCAGATTATAAAGCGGCCATTTTCCTTAATACAAGCAATGTAAGTCTGTTCTGAAATAAAAGTCTACTGTAAGCTGAAAACTTGGAGAAAACATTGCTTGCTTTCCTAGTAGGAACTACGTAATATTTTTAAAAGAGTTTAAAATTGGTTCTGAGTATCTACAAGGTTGGGGTAAGAAGTTTGTTGTCTGCCTACTTATAACTGATCTGCCTGAAGAACAAGCTGAAGGTTTGATGCCCATAGAATTTTATCAATTTGCTGAAGATCATGTAAAGACAATGTATTAAGACATTATCTTTAACAAGTAGGAAAAGGTTATTATGGATTTTATTTTCCAATATAGATACCAGCCAGAGAATCGAGAGATAAATCCGGGTTGATAACAAACATTGGTGAGGCTCGGATCATTGCCATCCTGACAGAAGCTTTGATTATTGTAAGTTTAACACCTGTTTGTAACTCTTAAGCGCAACACTCACAGCAAGATAGTATAGATGTATGTGCTCTTCTTAACTACTTTAATCATCAAATATCTGTCATAGTCGAAGGCATAGTGCATGTTCTTTAATAACAGACATGCTTCAGAGTTGTAAGAGATGCTTGATGTATAAAAAGATAATTTTGTGGTTCAAAAGCCAGACGTGTATTTAACAACTGTAAAAACGGCATTTCCCTGAAATATTTCAAACTTGAATTGTCCATGCTTTTCAGTTTCTGTGTAAAAGTTCAAGATACAAAATATTATTTTATTACCTTCAGAGTGGTGTATCTGCAGGAGATATAGGAATCATTGCGCCCTACCGTAACCAGGTCAGCGTCATCCGAGACAAACTAAGAAAACAGTGCACTGTTCAAGGTCAGATAGAGGTCAACACTGTAGACCAATACCAAGGACGTGACAAAGAAGTTATATGTATATCATTTACAAGGAGCTTCACATCATCTACTGACCAACAGTCCAAGGTAGGTCTGACTCCATCATCTACTGACCAACAGTCCAAGGTAGGTCTGACTCCATCATCTACTGACCAACAGTCCAAGGTAGGTCTGACTCCATCATCTACTGACCAACAGTCCAAGGTAGGTCTGACTCCATCATCTACTGACCAACAGTCCAAGGTAGGTCTGACTCCATCATCTACTGACCAACAGTCCAAGGTAGGTCTGACTCCATCATCTACTGACCTACAGTCCAAGGTAGGTCTGACTCCATCATCTACTGACCAACAGTCCAAGGAAGGTCTGACTCCATCATCTACTGACCAACAGTCCAAAGTAGGTCTGACTCCATCATCTACTGACCAACAGTCCAAGGTAGGTCTGACTCCATCATCTACTGACCAACAGTCCAAGGTAGGTCTGACTCCATCATCTACTGACCAACAGTCCAAGGTAGGTCTGACTCCATCATCAACTGACCAACAGTCCAAGGTAGGTCTGACTCCATCATCAACTGACCAACAGTCCAAGGTAGGTCTGACTCCATCATCAACTGACCTAGAGTCCAAGGTAGTTCTGACTCCATCATCTACTGACCGACAGTCCAAGGTAGGTCTGACTCCATCATCAACTGACCTACAGTCCAAAGTAGGTCTGACTCCATCATCTACTGACCGACAGTCCAAGGTAGGTCTGACTCCATCATCAACTGACCTACAGTCCAAGGTAGGTCTGACTCCATCATCTCTTGACCTACAATCCAAGGTAGGTCTGACTCCATCATCAACTGACCTACAGTCGAAGGTAGGTCTGACTCCATCATCTACTGACCAACAGTCCAAGGTAAGTCTGACTCCATCATTAAATGACCTACAGTCCAAGGTAGTTCTGACTCCATCATCAACTGACCTACAGTCCAAGGTAGTTCTGACTTCATCATCTACTGACCTACAGTCCAAGGAAGGTCTGACTCCATCATCAACTGACCTACAGTCCAAGGAAGGTCTGACTCCATCATCTACTGACCAACAGTCCAAGGTAGTTCTGACTCCATCATCAACTGACCAACAGTCCAAGGTAGTTCTGACTCCATCATCTACTGACCTACAGTCCAAGGTAGGTCTGACTCAATCTACTGACCTAGATTCCAGGGTAAGGTGAGGATGAGCTAGGCCAAAGTGTTTTACTGTGTCATACACGCTATTATTACAAATACTGATTTTTCTAAATCAACAAAGTGTTTTATGACCTTGCTTTACAGGCCCTATATAACCTTTCCTCCCTTGCTCCATTCTGGTGGGTAGAGTTTAAGGTTTTGATGTATATTTTACAAGAATTTTTTTATTTGTATTTTCATATATATTTCACAGGCATTTTTTTCTTATATGTAATGAATATATATAGATATCTTATGTATATAGGTTCTATTGATTACAAGGACAATGGAATGAATAAGTGAAAGATGCTGAAGAAATATGTAAAGTAACTGATAGACGTAAACTTTTCTGTAGGAAATTCAGGTAAGAAAATGTTTCATGTTCTTGAAAAACATTGTACAGCAAAATACTTTTTAATGTTTTAGACTCTCAGTATGATACACAACTTCTAATTCCCCATGTTCTTTTCAGTCGGGACAGCTTTTGAAGGATATTCGGCGATTAAATGTGGCCGTGACGCGGGCAAAAACCAAGCTCCTCTTGATAGGGGACCAATCTTCCTTACAGAGTTATCCACCCTTAGTTTCTATCCTAGATGCCTTAACAAGGAAACAATGTATATCCTTTTTCCACTTCACAACCACAGTTTGGTTTGTTCTGGATGAGATTTGTTCTGTTTCTTGTGTTCAGATAAAGTTTGAAGTCGAGTGTATGCAAATTACTTAGGTTTGTATGCTACTTTGTCTATTGTTAAGGCTAATATCATCACAACAATGATATATTGCACTCAGTGAAATTTTGATCCAATAGAATGAGGTCATGCTGTCAAGATTGTTAGAGTTGCATCTATCTTCAGAGGCATAAAATATTTGTCACTGCTGAGTAAAGGTAAGTTATCTTATTATCTGAGGTACAGTAACATACACAAAACATTTGTCACTGCTGACAAAAGGTAAGTTATCTTATTATCTGAGGTACAGTAACATACACAAAACATTTGTCACTGCTGACAAAAGGTAAGTTATCTTATTATCTGAGGTACAGTAACATACACAAAACATTTGTCACTGCTGACAAAAGGTAAGTTATCTTATTATCTGAGGTACAGTAACATACACAAAACATTTGTCACTGCTGAGTAAAGGTAAGTTATCTTATTATCTGAGGTACAGTAACATACACAAAACATTTGTCACTGCTGAGTAAAGGTAAGTTATCTTATTATCTGAGGTACAGTAACATACACAAAACATTTGTCACTGCTGAGTAAAGGTAAGTTATCTTATTATCTGAGGTACAGTAACATACACAAAACATTTGTCACTGCTGAGTAAAGGTAAGTTATCTTATTATCTGAGGTACAGTAACATACACAAAACATTTGTCACTGCTGAGTAAAGGTAAGTTATCTTATTATCTGAGGTACAGTAACATACACAACACATTTGTCACTGCTGAGTAAAGGTAAGTTATCTTATTATCTGAGGTACAGTAACATACACAAAACATTTGTCACTGCTGAGTAAAGGTAAGTTATCTTATTATCTGAGGTACAGTAACATACACAAAACATTTGTCACTGCTGACAAAAGGTAAGTTATCTTATTATCTGAGGTACAGTAACATACACAAAACATTTGTCACTGCTGAGTAAAGGTAAGTTATCTTATTATCTGAGGTACAGTAACATACACAAAACATTTGTCACTGCTGAGTAAAGGTAAGTTATCTTATTATCTGAGGTACAGTAACATACACAAAACATTTGTCACTGCTGAGTAAAGGTAAGTTATCTTATTATCTGAGGTACAGTAACATACACAAAACATTTGTCACTGCTGACAAAAGGTAAGTTATCTTATTATCTGAGGTACAGTAACATACACAAAACATTTGTCACTGCTGAGTAAAGGTAAGTTATCTTATTATCTGAGGTACAGTAACATACACAAAACATTTGTCACTGCTGACAAAAGGTAAGTTATCTTATTATCTGAGGTACAGTAACATACACAAAACATTTGTCACTGCTGACAAAAGGTAGGTTATCTTATTATCTGAGGTACAGTAACATACACAAAACATTTGTCACTGCTGAGTAAAGGTAAGTTATCTTATTATCTGAGGTACAGTAACATACACAAAACATTTGTCACTGCTGAGTAAAGGTAAGTTATCTTATTATCTGAGGTACAGTAACATACACAAAACATTTGTCACTGCTGAGTAAAGGTAAGTTATCTTATTATCTGAGGTACAGTAACATACACAAAACATTTGTCACTGCTGACTAAAGGTAAGTTATCTTATTATCTGAGGTACAGTAACATACACAAAACATTTGTCACTGCTGAGTAAAGGTAAGTTATCTTATTATCTGAGGTACAGTAACATACACAAAACATTTGTCACTGCTGAGTAAAGGTAAGTTATCTTATTATCTGAGGTACAGTAACATACACAAAACATTTGTCACTGCTGAGTAAAGGTAAGTTATCTTATTATCTGAGGTACAGTAACATACACAAAACATTTGTCACTGCTGAGTAAAGGTAAGTTATCTTATTATCTGAGGTACAGTAACATACACAAAACATTTGTCACTGCTGAGTAACGGTAAGTTATCTTATTATCTGAGGTACAGTAACATACACAAAACATTTGTCACTGCTGAGTAAAGGTAAGTTATCTTATTATCTGAGGTACAGTAACATACACAAAACATTTGTCACTGCTGAGTAAAGGTAAGTTATCTTATTATCTGAGGTACAGTAACATACACAAAACATTTGTCACTGCTGAGTAAAGGTAAGTTATCTTATTATCTGAGGTACAGTAACATACACAAAACATTTGTCACTGCTGAGTAAAGGTAAGTTATCTTATTATCTGAGGTACAGTAACATACACAAAACATTTGTCACTGCTGAGTAAAGGTAAGTTATCTTATTATCTGAGGTACAGTAACATACACAAAACATTTGTCACTGCTGACAAAAGGTAAGTTATCTTATTATCTGAGGTACAGTAACATACACAAAACATTTGTCACTGCTGACTAAAGGTAAGTTATCTTATTATCTGAGGTAGAGTAACATACACAAAACATTTGTCACTGCTGAGTAAAGGTAAGTTATCTTATTATCTGAGGTACAGTAACATACACAAAACATTTGTCACTGCTGAGTAAAGGTAAGTTATCTTATTATCTGAGGTACAGTAACATACACAAAACATTTGTCACTGCTGAGTAAAGGTAAGTTATCTTATTATCTGAGGTACAGTAACATACACAAAACATTTGTCACTGCTGACTAAAGGTAAGTTATCTTATTATCTGAGGTACAGTAACATACACAAAACATTTGTCACTGCTGACAAAAGGTAAGTTATCTTATTATCTGAGGTACAGTAACATACACAAAACATTTGTCACTGCTGACTAAAGGTAAGTTATCTTATTATCTGAGGTACAGTAACATACACAAAACATTTGTCACTGCTGACAAAAGGTAAGTTATCTTATTATCTGAGGTACAGTAACATACACAAAACATTTGTCACTGCTGACAAAAGGTAAGTTACTTGTGATACCAGCTAATGACTTTTCCCAATTCCTCTTGTAATTATAGATTGATTGTATATTATTGAGCCTTACTTGTCTCTCGTAAAATAAAATTGAATTTCATAGTGAATCTTTCCTTAACCCTATTTACATCATTGACTTGCCTTCGTGTATATATGAGGGATCCTGAAGAGTTTCACATGACCTATGGACAGTTTCCTGAAGAAAACAATTCTCATTTTATGAATTACTATATCTAAGAAAAAGACATTTATTTGTGTGACAAGGATAAACTTAAGAAGTTCTTGTCTCAGAAACAAAATTCTTCTCTAAGTCATGGATGAAATTCAAAAGTGCTATTTTTATAAACAGACGGAATTATTTTCTGTGATGATGATGAAATCAAGAAGTGCTATTGTCAGGAACAAAATTAGTTTCTGACAAGGATGTAACTGAGATTTCTTTCTTTCTATTTAGGCAAAATGTAACATAGTTACTGTTTTAGCATATTGCAAATAGATCTTAATACCAATCCTAGCCTTCTGATCTATTCAAATTTCCAAACGAGTTGCCCAGGACTTTTTGCGACAGTCATATGCTATAATATTGCTACCATCTTTGAAAAGATGCATGCAGTCACAATTTGACAAGAAAATTACACTACAAACTTACCGGATGAAATGACCAAGTTTTGACAATTTTACTCTGTCGTGATTGACAGCTTGACACACAAATATATATAACACTGAAATACTTGAAGAAGTTAGTGACATCAAAAGTTACAAAAGTAACACAACCTTGTACCAAGTTTCATGTTGGTATTTGTCAAATTGGTTCAGTTACATAGACAAATTTCCTTGGTCTTTCATGGTACATACGTGTGTTGTGTATTACACTTGAGAGCGGCGTCATTTAGTTGTTAGTAGTTGTTTCAATAACAAGAAAGAATGTATCCTACTATCATTTTATGACTTTTACCAGAAATTATATAACACATTAACCTCGTTGGTTTTATATTTCATGTCACATACAATGCATTAATTACTAAACCAGATACAATTTCCATATGTAAAGTTTTCTTTCGTGTCTTGCTGTCACATCATGCATGTACCAGCTTATGCAAACAAGGCTCCAGCTATGTATTGCAGGCGTTATGATGTTCAGAGCGTTGAAAGAAGGCTTGTGTATATTGTCAAACAGTAGTGGTGCTTGACTGCTTAATGTGATCAGATAATCACGCCATCAATATTCCTATTTAATATGACAAATAAGTAACCGTAAGACACACAAACATGCTTCATAAACACCAATGAAATCGATTTTGAGAGATATTTATCATTAGTCTTATGTCTCAATCCATATCCGCATCCTAATATCATCACTTACCTCTGCCAATACACAAACATGGTTTCTTTGCATAAAGTGTAACATCATTTCTTAACAGCCAGAAATGTAAGTGTTCAAAAGATGGTCATACCTTCAGTTACATGTTCAATTATGATTGCCCTTCCCACTGTTGCTGCAGAAGAAAATGGGTTAAAATGTTTCCAGGCACATGTGAGGAGAGGAATTTTACTATTACGAATAGTCTAACCTATACCTCAGAAAGAACTCTGTTATACTTGTATCAGAATGTATTTAATTGTGAAGTAAATATTAACAGGTAGAATTTGATTTTGATGATGTGCCTCCAGCAATGATATTTTTATAATGTGATAAATTATGGCTCAGATTTCTTGTAGTAAACTGAAGCTCAGAACAAATATTGTACATACATGTCATTTTATGTTTGATATTTATGTTCATAATACTGAAGTCACTATTCAATTATACCAATAATGCATGAATTTTCAGATGAAGTGTATTAGTTCTTCTGACTTCTCAAAAAATAAGATATAGACGATTTGTTAGATTAAACATTTGTAAAATTTATTGTATTCTGGTCTTCCTTTCTTTGATGTTATGTCTCTGCTATTTGATTGGGCATGTTACCCTTGACCCATCCGTATTCAATGTCATAACTGATCTGTTAAAAATTGTTTAAGAAATGGTTTAAAATCGGTAAAATGAAGTTTAAAAGCAACAGGTGGTAGTGGTAAAGCTTCCTTTGCGGCACGATCTGCTTTTTTCATTGCCTGGTATTCCCATGTGCCCAGGAGCA